AAGTTTCAAACGCAGATATAATAGAGCATAATAGGCTTAGAAACTAAATACAAAGTTTCAAGCGTAGATATAATAGAGCATAATAGGCTCAGAAACTTGTACACCACTTGGCTAACGGTTGAGAGGAGGGACCAAAGGGGCCGAACCTCAACCCCTGCAAGTACAACTAGGTGAGAACACATTTCTTCCGGCAGGTCACTGCAGTAACCGCACATCAGTTCAGCAGACTCATGCGAAATAAAAGGCTGCGGTGAGCATTGTTCTCACACCCGCCTGGGGTCTGGTAAGCTAGCAACACGGGGACACGCCCAAACCTCAGATACACGCAACTTGCAGTAACTTCTTCAGGTGACTATGTTAAAGTTTGACACTCGTTATGTGCTTAAAACTGACCATAGTTTTAAGAACCACATCTAAATAATATTCTTTGGGTGTGGGCTTCAGGAGACAGGTTCGGTGAGATATTAACTCTTTAGATCTGTACTCACCTAATTGTGCTTGCGGGGGTTGAGTTCTGGCTCTTTGGTCTCGCCTCTCAACTGTCAATTAATTGATGTATAGCTTCCTGAGCCTACTGGGCTCTATCATATCTACACTTGAAACTGTGTACGAAGTCTGCCGCCACCACATCACTTTCTAAAGAGTCGTGGTATATATGTATCTGTCTGTCTGTCTGTCTATATGAGTGTAAATCACAAAGAAATTAACGCCTGATGATTAAAGTGACAATGTATAACCACGAACAAAAATAAAGTAAATAAATTAGTGAAGTACTTTCTTGTTAATCAACACATCGTCAGAAGTATGAACAATACAATTATTAATAACATTAGTAGTGGTTTGTACAATACGGATCCATTTTTATTTGATCAATTAAAACGCGACACAATAGGCTCCTTAATGCATAAGTTATCCCATTGGCGACGAGGCTTCCCGGACCCCGCGTACCGGTCAGTTCTTCATCCTTCCTTTTTACTGCCCATATCTCCCTCTACGGAGTTATAATGGCCATACTTTTTTGTTGATGTGCTGATTAACACGAAAACACGAAAGTGTTTAACTAGTTTCTTGTAATTTCTTTTCTATCATGGTTATATATATATATATATATATATATATATATATATATATATATATATATATATATATATATATATATATATATATATATATGTCGTACCTAGTAGCCAGAACGCCCTTCTCAGCCTACTATGCAAGGCCCGATTTGCCTAATAAGCCAAGTTTTCCTGAATTAATATATTTTCTCTAATTATTTTTTATGAAATGATAAAGCTACCCATTTTATTATGTATGAGGTCAATTTTTTTTTATTGGAGTTAAAAATATCGTAGATATATGACCGAACCTAACCAACCCTACCTAACCTAACCTAACCTATCTTTATAGGTTAGGTTACGTTAGGTAGCCGAAAAAGTTAGGTTAGGTTGTCGAAAAACAATTAATTCATGAAAACTTGGGTTATTAGGCAAATCGGGCCTTGCATAGTAGGCTGACAAGTTCGTTCTGGCTACTAGGTACGACATTATATATATATATATATATATATATATATATATATATATATATATATATATATATATATATATATATATTTATTTATTTATATATATATATATATATATATATATATATATATATATATATATATATATATATATGTGTGTGTGTGTGTGTGTGTGTGTGTGTGTGTGTGTGTGTGTGTTTACTAGTTGTGTTTTGCGGGGGTTGAGCTTTGCTCTTTCGGCCCGCCTCTCAACTGTCAATCAACTGTTTACTAACTATTTTTTTCCACACCACACACACACACCCCAGGAAGCAGCCCGTGACAGCTGACTAACTCCCAGGTACCTATTTACTGCTAGGTAACAGGGGCACTTAGGGTGAAAGAAACTTTGCCCATTTGTTTCTGCCTCGTGCGGGAATCGAACCCGCGCCACAGAATTACGAGTCCTGCGCGCTATCCACCAGGCTACGAGGCCCCCCAGATTGATGTATGTGTGTGTGTGTGTGTGTGTGTGTGTGTGTGTTTGCTATGCTAATCACGAAATGAGAAGGAAGGTGAAGAATGTATATCCAAGAGAATAGGCAGACAACGACAATGACAAATTCCTACAAGAGAAGTGGCTGGTTGTAATGGCTGTCACTGACAGCAGAGAGAGGCAATAGCATTGTTGTTGTTGAGGCCCATATTGAGTCGTTCTTAACCTGCTGATAACGTCTAGAAAAGTTTTTTCTTTGAAATGCAAATCTGTTCCAAGTGATCACGAGCTAAACAAAATAACAGTTGCAATTAGTTCATACCTGGAACTAATGTACCTTCCGTAATGCGAAATCAAGATGAACTTCAGAAAAAAATAAAATTTAACAGCTTTCTGGACAAGTTTATAGGGCACACCAATCCTGTCCAGCCTACCGAATACTTCAGTTGTGTTCTTTACACAGGTGGGGAAAGGAGTACACTTCTTTTGGCTTCTGTTAATAGGCTGAGAGCGTTCCACTCAAATAGGTCTGAGTAAGCCTTATTTTACGAGTTTTCCCCGAAACACGACCGGTCAGTTACAGATGTCAGTTTACTGTAAACATGGCACATGTAAGTCTGGCCTTTAGAAACCTTGAAACCGAGGCCTTGAGAACACTGTGCACAGATTATGTTAGACCAACCCTCGAGTATGCTGATCTCGCCTGGAATCCCATCCCTAAAGGAACAAACGAGATTACAAATATCCCAGAGATGTGCAACAAGGCTTCCATTGAACTCAGGAGATTGAGTTACAATGAGCGGCTGAGGGGAATTCCTGCCCGTTCTCTAGGGTTGTCACAACGAACAAAATACGGAGTGCTGGATGAACAAAGACTCAAGAGAGTGTATAATAACACCGTTAAACATGTTGTTGATTCCTGTTATAAATTAGCACATGGTGATCACGTTACCTCCATTTTTGTCGTGTGTTTATTGGTTCTGGCAGATCTGTCGCTTGAAGCCTCTCCTCGTAGCGCTTCATTTTGGACCCGGGAGCCATTTTCTAGGAAGTCTTGACTTATTCTCTATTTCATCCATGTTTGGATATAAACTTACAAATGCTGCATAATATAATTTACGTCGTACGTGTGTAGTGTATCTTTTTTTTGTTCTCTTCATACGTGAATTTGAGGGTAATCCCTAAACTGGTGTAGTGACAGTTTACTGTCCAGGTCCACTCATAAATATTTTTCCTCACAAGAGTTCTTTCAGTCTTTAAACATCTGTGGGCTGAATGTTGCAAGGTCTCACGCAGTCCTCACTCCAGTACGTGGCAGTCATCCTCACTGAATTCTATTTACCATATTTTCTTTTGCTAATATTCCCTAGGTCATATTGCCGTACATGTCAATGTTTCCGTCTTGCATACTTCATGGAAGCCTAGCATCATCTGCAGACATGTTCGAATAACTCTATATACATATACCTTCATGTTGTGTATATCTTCACGTTGTGTATACCTTCGTGTTGTGTATACCTTGATGTAGAACATACAAACACTTAGTGGAGTTAGTACCGAGCCTCGAGAGGACCTCCACAAGTGGCATTCAGGCCGTCGGGATCACTCCCTCTTAGCTCTCTCTCTCTTCATCCATTCTCTATGTTCAAATGGGGACTCAAATGTGTGGGGACTTTATCGCATGCCTTTTTTCATGTCCAGATAGATGCACTCAGCCCAACTGTCTCTTTCCTGTCGTAACAACTGAGTTTGAGACATGATCTTCCTGATCGAACACCAACCCGTCTGGCGCTACGTGACTGATTTAGAGATGTTCCAACTTATTTATTTTTTTTACTTTTTAATGATTTGGCTACACTGGTATGTGTGTATTTACTATTTGTATTTACATCTGTAGAATTGAGCTATTAGCTCTTGGACCCCGCCTTTTAAACCAATCTATTTTCCTCTAATATCTCTACTACATATTTTTCTCTAACACACGCACCCACACACGCACCCTCGGTTGAGAGGCGGGACCAAAGAGCCAGAGCTCAACCCCCGCAAACACAACTAGGTGAGTACACACACACATTCACATCCTCGAGAAGCAGCCCGTAGCAGCTGTCTAACTCCCGGGTACCTATTTACTGCTAAGTGAACTGGATCATCAGGGTGAAAGAAACTCTGCCCATTTGTTTCAATCTCCGCCGGGGATTGAAATCGGGCCCTTAGGACTACGACCCCTGGGAACGGTGTTACACTCTCCCAGGGAGTGTTACACTCTCCCAGGGAGTGTAACACTCTCCCAGGGAGTGTAACACTCTCCCAGGGAGTGTAACACTCTCCCAGGGGAGTGTAACACTCTCCCAGGGAGTGTAACACTCTCCCAGGGAGTGTAACACTCTCCCAGGGAGTGTAACACTCTCCCAGGGGAGTGTAACACTCTCCCAGGGAGTGTAACACTCTCCCAGGGGAGAGTAACACTCTCCCAGGGAGTGTAACACTCTCCCAGGAAGTGTAACACTCTCCCAGGGGAGTGTAACACTCTCCCAGGGAGTGTAACACTCTCCCAGGGAGTGTAACACTCTCCCAGGGGAGAGTAACACTCTCCCAGGGAGTGTAACACTCTACACTCTCCCAGGGGAGTGTAACACTCTCCCAGGGAGTGTAACACTCTCCCAGGGAGTGTAACACTCTCCCAGGGGAGAGTAACACTCTCCCAGGGAGTGTAACACTCTCCCAGGGAGTGTAACACTCTCCCAGGGGAGTGTAACACTCTCCCAGGGAGTGTAACACTCTCCCAGGGGAGAGTAACACTCTCCCAGGGAGTGTAACACTCTCCCAGGGAGTGTAACACTCTCCCAGGGGAGAGTAACACTCTCCCAGGGAGTGTAACACTCTCCCAGGGAGTGTAACACTCTCCCAGGGGAGTGTAACACTCTCCCAGGGAGTGTAACACTCTCCCAGGGGAGAGTAACACTCTCCCAGGGAGTGTAACACTCTCCCAGGGAGTGTAACACTCTCCCAGGGGAGTGTAACACTCTCCCAGGGAGTGTAACACTCTCCCAGGGAGTGTAACACTCTCCCAGGGAGTGTAACACTCTCCCGGGGGAGTGTAACACTCTCCCAGGGAGTGTAACACTCTCCCAGGGAGTGTAACACTCTCCCAGGGGAGTGTAACACTCTCCCAGGGGAGTGTAACACTCTCCCAGGGAGTGTAACACTCTCCCAGGGAGTGTAACACTCTCCCAGGGAGTGTAACACTCTCCCAGGGAGTGTAACACTCTCCCAGGGGAGTGTAACACTCTCCCAGGGAGTGTAACACTCTCCCAGGGAGTGTAACACTCTCCCAGGGGAGTGTAACACTCTCCCAGGGGAGTGTAACACTCTCCCAGGGAGTGTAACACTCTCCCAGGGGAGTGTAACACTCTCCCAGGGGAGTGTAACACTCTCCCAGGGAGTGTAACACTCTCCCAGGGAGTGTAACACTCTCCCAGGGAGTGTAACACTCTCCCAGGGGAGTGTAACACTCTCCCAGGGGAGTGTAACACTCTCCCAGGGGAGTGTAACACTCTCCCAGGGGAGTGTAACACTCTCCCAGGGAGTGTAACACTCTCCCAGGGGAGTGTAACACTCTCCCAGGGAGTGTAACACTCTCCCAGGGAGTGTAACACTCTCCCAGGGGAGTGTAACACTCTCCCAGGGAGTGTAACACTCTCCCAGGGAGTGTAACACTCTCCCAGGGGAGTGTAACACTCTCCCAGGGAGTGTAACACTCTCCCAGGGGAGTGTAACACTCTCCCAGGGAGTGTAACACTCTCCCAGGGAGTGTAACACTCTCCCAGGGAGTGTAACACTCTCCCAGGGGAGTGTAACACTCTCCCAGGGAGTGTAACACTCTCCCAGGGAGTGTAACACTCTCCCAGGGGAGTGTAACACTCTCCCAGGGGAGTGTAACACTCCCAGGGGAGTGTAACACTCTCCCAGGGGAGTGTAACACTCTCCCAGGGGAGTGTAACACTCTCCCAGGGGAGTGTAACACTCTCCCAGTGAGTGTAACACTCTCCCAGTGAGTGTAACACTCTCCCAGGGGAGTGTAACACTCTCCCAGGGGAGTGTAACACTCTCCCAGGGGAGTATAACTCTCCCAGGGGAGTATAACACTCTCCCAGGGGAGTGTGGCGGCATATAAACACAGAAGTATGAGTCTTCTGATCAGGGGCAAAGAGTGAAGGCCAGGAGTGGTGTGCACTCCGTTGTGAGTGCTAAGTGCTACCCCGGGGGCAATGTTGCACTCATTGAACTCATTCCGTTGCAACTATGCCTCCATCACTGGGGGCGGGGAGTTAGACAAAAAAATTGAAAACTGCGTGTGAGTGGATGTTTGTATCGTAGCGAGTGCCATTGTTCTGAGTGAAACTTTCTACTCGCTTAATGGCCAATACACAAAAAAATTAAATAAGTGTCCGAAGTGACAAAAAAATATATATCTAGGGCATAAAAAGCAGGAAATGAAAGACTGTGTTCTTGCACTTTGCAGGGAACACAAAGAGGCTGGGGAAACAATTTCCGTGTAGTCACGAAGCGCTGACGTGAGGCTGCGGGAGGGAGGCAACGCTGCGCCTTCCGCTAGAGGGCAGGCCTCTCCTCCTTGACAGGCAGGGCTCCCCGTCACTGACAGGTAGCACCCGTCACGGCTTGAGAGCCTCCCTGACAGGCAGAGTCCCCCGTCACTGACAGGTAGCACCCGTCAGAGCCTGAAAGCCTAGCCAACAAACTCACCCAAAGCTGGGAAGCCTTTATGAGTACGCCACAGCTTTCCAGTCCCAGATAATATGTACATGGGTGTGTGTGTGGTGGGAGGGGGAGAGGGACATAAAAAAACTAGCGACAATGGTACCCCAAAAGGCCACGTTACAGGAAGAAACTGGCCCTGAGTGTAAAACTATCCCGGTGCTGGCTAGGAGGGGCGGCGGCGGGGGGCTGGTGGATCAGGGGCGGCGCTTCCGTTTACGTGTTTAAAGTAACGTCATTCAATTAAGGTGGTACGGGCAAGCCTACAGGCGCGCGGGCGGCCGGGCGTGTGTGTGTGTGTGTGTGTGTGTGTGTGTGTGTATATATATATATATATATATATATATATATATATATATATATATATATATATATATATATATATATATATATATATATATATATATATATATATATATATATATATATATATATATATATATATATATATATATATATATATATATATATATATATATATATATATATATATATATATATAAATGGGAAAAAGATCCTCGATGTTCTGATATGTAGGAATCTTAAACTAAATTTGCATCATATAAATGTGCGAATAAGACACTGGGATTTATATCAGGAAGAGTCACTAATGCAAGTAACTGTTATCCTGCAGCTTGTTATCGTGTCTTCGTTAGGCTCATACACACTATCAATTAAGCTTGAGCCACCGTACTATAGAAAGAAAATCAGTCATTATCAAAAGAAGGCGCCAGGCCAGGCTGGCAAAACTATGTAGCACAGAGAGAAAATAAATTATTGTAAAAGTTTGCAGAGAAAGATGGACAAAACTGAACACATCATTATAGAAACCTCCCGTATGAAGAGGGATAAAACAAACTTCACTTCCCCTTATCTTGAAAGACGCAGATTAAGGAAGGGACATGAGGGAAATGTAAACATCAATGAAAAGGGTGTAACAAGACTGTGGTAAACACACCGTACAGGACAACACGCAATAATGGACACAAATGGAATACGGTTACATTCAGAAAATTGATAAAACGTAGTTTTCTAAATACGGTTGTATATTTAAGGAAAAGGTTTACAGGTAACATAATGTGGAAAGGTTTACAGGTAAGATAATAATGTCGCAGTGGTGTTTCGAGCGTAGGTTAGACAAATACAAGAGTGTATATGTGTGGGGTATTAACAGGAGGGGGGGGAGGCTGCCTTTACCTGTCCAGCAGGTCTTACGTTCAGCAGCCAGGCCCGTATCTTACATCAAACAGCCAGGTCCTGGCTTATTAATCAAGATCAAATGCTATTTAAATCTCAGGATTAGACATTTACACGCTCCGCATGAGCGATGCTAAGACATCGTGCAGCCGCATCTGCATAATAATGCGCGGCGACAATTGCCAGCCAGCGCGCTCCAGCGGGCCTCTGCTCCGGCGCACTTCCAGGTAACTTACTGCGCGTGTTAGTGTCCACCAGTCACCTAAACAGGAAGAGCCGCACGGCGCGAGTCATGTGGCGCGAGTGGCGCCGCGACCAGCACCAAATATTCCGGCAAGAGCGATCGCTGCGAGAGACGTTGAGAGCCGCTGGTGATGGTTTAGGTCTAGTTGAGTTCGGTTAAATAATTAAGGTCAAGGACTACACGATATCCTGAATGACTGCCAGATCACTGATCTGTGACGTGTTCAGCTGCCATTGGCTGAGCACTGCAACATGACTCAGGGAGTCACACATGCCATCCGGATTCTCAACCTAGTGTCCACCGGACGGACGCCGTTCGAGTTATTAATAGTGGCCGTCTCACGCCGCAGCACACACTCGGAAAACGTTCACAGCTCAAGGTTCCTGGTGAGAACTTGGGGAGTATATAACGAGGGAGGCGAGGGCCGAACCACACAGACGCTGTGGAGTGGCGAGTGTGTCAATAGCTCACCCTACCAACAATCTTGGACCAATTGGTGTGACGTTGCAACCTACCCGCACAAGGTCAGGTTACCTCTCCTCTCGTACCTGTGTGTTACGTAAAGCATTGTGTTGACCAGACCACACACTAGAAGGTGAAGGGACGACGACGTTTCGGTCCGTCCTGGACCATTCTCAAGTCGCTTGTGACTGCAGTATTGACTAAAGCATTGTGCTTTTCGCTTCTCGAAAGTGAGCATTTAGAAACGGCTGTACACTCGCAGCTTGTGCCGTGCTGCCTCAGATGTGTCGACGGTACAGCCAGGTGACGTTTAAAGTGAATATGTTTCGGTGTACATATAATCATAGAAACAATTACATAAATAAAAGCGTGTGTAAATGACAGTGCAAGGGCGCGGGTGAGCAATGTGAAACGCTTTATACATTATATTTCGTTTTCAAAATATAAAGCTAATTGAATGGAAATCTTTTTAACTTTGAATTACACAGGTGTTACTCTCCAAACACACAGGTGATGCTCTCCAAACACACAGGTGTTGCTCTCCAAACATACAGGTGCTGCTCTCCAAACACACAGGTGCTACTCTCCAAACACACCGGTGTTACTCTCCAAACACACAAGCGATACTCTCCAAACACACAAGTGATACTCTCCAAACACACAAGTGATACTCTCCAAACACACAGGTGTCACTCTCCAAACACACAAGTGATACTCTCCAAACACACAGGTGCTACTCTCCAAACACACAAGTGATACTCTCCAAACACACAGGTGCTACTCTCCAAACACACAAGTGATACTCTCCAAACACACAAGTGATACTCTCCAAACACACAGGTGCTACTCTCCAAACACACAAGTGATACTCTCCAAACACACAGGTGATACTCTCCAAACACACAAGTGATACTCTCCAAACACACAAGTGATACTCTCCAAACACACAGGTGCTACTCTCCAAACACACAGGTGCTGCTCTCTCCAAACACACAAGTGATACTCTCCAAACACACAAGTGATACTCTCCAAACACACAGGTGCTACTCTCCAAACACACAGGTGCTACTCTCCAAACACACAAGTGATACTCTCCAAACACACAAGTGATACTCTCCAAACACACAAGTGATACTCTCCAAACACACAGGTGCTACTCTCCAAACACACAGGTGCTACTCTCCAAACACACAAGTGATACTCTCCAAACACACAAGTGATACTCTCCAAACACACAAGTGATGCTCTCCAAACACACAAGTGATACTCTCCAAACACACAGGTGCTACTCTCCAAACACACATGTGATACTCTCCAAACACACAGGTGCTACTCTCCAAACACACAGGTGCTACTCTCCAAACACACAGGTGTTACTCTCCAAACACACAAGTGATACTCACCAAACACACAGGTGCTACTCTCCAAACACACAGGTGCTACTCTCCAAACACACAGGTGCTACTCTCCAAACACACAGGTGCTACTCTCCAAACACACAGGTGCTACTCTCCAAACACACAGGTGCTGCTCTCCAAACACACAAGTGATACTCTCCAAACACACAAGTGATACTCTCCAAACACACAAGTGATACTCTCCAAACACACAGGTGCTACTCTCCAAACACACAGGTGCTGCTCTCTCCAAACACACAAGTGATACTCTCCAAACACACAGGTGCTACTCTCCAAACACACAGGTGCTACTCTCCAAACACACAGGTGCTGCTCTCTCCAAACACACAAGTGATACTCTCCAAACACACAGGTGCTACTCTCCAAACACACAGGTGCTACTCTCCAAACACACAGGTGCTACTCTCCAAACACACAGGTGCTACTCTCCAAACACACAGGTGCTACTCTCCAAACACACAGGTGCTACTCTCCAAACACACAGGTGCTGCTCTCTCCAAACACACAAGTGATACTCTCCAAACACACAGGTGCTGCTCTCCAAACACACAGGTGCTACTCTCCAAACACACAGGTGCTACTCTCCAAACACACAGGTGCTGCTCTCCAAACACACAGGTGCTGCTCTCCAAACACACAGGTGCTACTCTCTAAACACACAGGTGCTACTCTCCAAACACACAGGTGCTACTCTCCAAACACACAGGTGCTGCTCTCTCCAAACACACAAGTGATACTCTCCAAACACACAGGTGCTACTCTCCAAACACACAGGTGCTGCTCTCCAAACACACAGGTGCTACTCTCCAAACACACAGGTGCTGCTCTCCAAACACACAGGTGCTGCTCTCCAAACACACAGGTGCTACTCTCTAAACATACAAGTGATACTCTCCAAACACACAAGTGATACTCACCAAACACATGTTAGCGCCTCAACCTGTCCACCTTACAGAACGTCGCATTTTGACGTATAGTCCTCCTAAGGCCAAACATTGTCGTACTAGAAAATGGTAGCGGGCCGCAAATTTGACATACACTCTCCCGTTTTCTATTTTGGGTCCTCTGGTAGGTTAGGCTAAGGGCACGTTAGTACGGCAGTTTCTTGACGTTGGAAAATCCTGGTCGGACGGGCTGGGCAGCCAGTGAGGTGGTCTCACCGACACACGCCTGGACGTGTCCGGCCTACGTGATGGACTGACAGCTCATCAATCATTGTCTTCCTTATAAGGTGCAATTATGTCTTGAGATGGGTTAAGTACACAAGTCTTGTTGGATCTATCTTACGCAGGGAGGCGCGCACATTAGGGTGTGTCTAGGGGGGGGGGGGTCCTCGCGGCTGAGTGGACAGTGCTCTTGGCTCGTAGTCCTAAGGGCCCGGGCTCTATCCCCGGCAGAGGCAGAAACAAATGGGCAGAGTTTCTTTCGCCCTAGTGCGCCTGTTCAGCTAGCAGTATGTTATACTCAAATTCTATGTCAGTTGAAATGTAACCAATCACAGGCAAGTAGGCCTCTGACGTCATGCCAGACAGAGGAGCATCAAGCCATGCTCCCAGCAGCCTCAGTTATCCTCACAGACTCAGAGTAGGTGGACCTCGGCTGGCCAGATATATACCTTGTTGTCTCGGTCAATAAATATATACAGAAGCGACTACTGTGTCTACATTAAACCCGAACAAGGCAAACGAATAAGTAAATAGGTACCTGGGAGTTAGACAGGTGCTACGGGCTGTTTCTTGGGAGATGTGTGCGTGTAAGAGAAATATATGTGGTAGACATAATAGAGGAAAACTAAATTGGTTAGAAAGGCGAGGTCCAAGAACTAATGGCTCGATTCTGCAGATAAAAATAGTAAATTCACACACACACACACACACACACACACATATACACACACACAGTGTGTCTGGAAAATGTTCAAAGGTTTGCCACCAGACTAGTACCCGAACTGAGGGTTATGAGCTACGGGGAGAGACTACGGGAATTAAACCTCACGTCACTGGGAGACAGAAGAGTTAGGGGGGGGACATGATCACCACATACAAGATTCTCAAAGAAATTGATAGGGTAAATAAAGACAGACTATTTAACCCCAGGAGCACATGCACTAGGGGACACAGGTGGAAATTGAGTACCCAAATGAGCCACAGAGATATTAGAAAGAATTTGTTCAGTGTCAGAGTAGTAGACAAATGGAATGCATTGGAAAGTGATGTGGTGGAGGCAGACTCCATACACAGTTTCAAGTATAGATATGATAGAGCCCAATAGGTCCGGGAACGTGTACACCTGTTGATTGACAATTGAGAGGCGGGACCAAAGAGCCAGAGCTCAACCCCCGCAAGCACAACTAGATAAGTGCACACACACACACATGGGTGGAAACTGGAAACTCAGATGAGTCACAGAGATGTTAGGAAGTTTTCTTTTAGCGTGAGAATAGTGGAAAAATGGAATGCGCTTGGGGAACAGGTTGTGGAAGCAAATACTATTCATACTTTTAAAACTAGGTACGATAGGGAAATGGGACAGGAGTCATTGCTGTAAACAACCGATTGCTGGAAAGGCGGGATCCAAGAGTCAATGCTCGATCCTGCAAGCACAAATAGGTGAGTACACACACACACACATACACACACCTTTTCGAGTGTTTAATCCATAAAAACAATTTCTCTTACGTAGTTTTCGTCCTCACTTATGACATTATATGAACCAACTTCACGATGGCGTTCTTGATGCATCTCTGATTTGCTTGTGTGTTTAAGTTCCATTAATTCTCACTAATTTTATTGTTCATAAATTAGAGCATTGTTTATTTTCTCTGTTGATCTTCCTTAGAATATTTTAGTCACTGCCTCAGTCTTTCCTCTTAGCTCAATCCCCTCACCTCAGGCACAGTCCTTGTTGCATATATCAGAACTTTCACTCTTTTTCGTGTTCGAGTAATTTTCAGTTGGGTCATCCAAGCCGCAGTTCGGCATTACTTGCCCTTGTACTCACCTAGTTGTATTCAACTACTTGTGCTTGTGGAGGGGACGGGTGAGCTCTTTGGTCCCGCCTCTCAACTGTCAATCAACTAGTGAGAAATGTACATTTTACAATGTTTGACATCCTCGTGGCTCATGCAGTACCGTGTTGGGCATTTTGAATTCATGCAGTACTTTGAATTCTCTTGGAAGTACACAGAGAATCCTCTTATTGCTGGCCACGGTGCTCATGTAAGTCCTCCTCCCAAAATAGTTATGACCACGTGTCTTGCTCCAGGGGGGGGGGAGGTGTGTCCTGAGCACAAAGTGTATCAACAGGACATTACACACCTTAGCTGAGGGGTGAGAAGTGTCGCCAGGCTTGTCTTCTACCTTGTCTTCGTCTTGCTTAGTTAACTTGCTGACTTCTAACTTGTCTTCTCAGGCTGGCCCTGAGAAATGATGTGTTATATCTTGGTGAGAGATGTTATCATTCTGGTGGCCCCTGTGAACTAATAGGAATGAGTTATTGATGAGAAATGTGTCCCACTCGAGGTCTTGTGAACTGGTCACTTACGACTGCAGCAATATTACCAGCTAAACATCCCGTCGACCGTGGGAGCTGAACTTCCAGGTGACTGCCAAACTCTTGGGCGGAGAAGTTATGCCAGTTTTATA